CCTTTACATTTTGAAACAGATGGGAAACAAACCCAGATAATTAATGTTTTTGGCAGCCTATGAATTTTATGATTTTAGCTCTGTTTGGAGTGAGTTAAAGATGGTTCTTGTTAGTATATCTCTTAGTGGTCTCGACATTACAATGGGATGTTCTAGATGATAAAAGAACTTCAGTACCAGAAGGAAAAAATTCCAAAAGAATTCCAGGTAGAAGGCCAAGTGGAGGAAAAAAATTGAAGATTTTATAGTTCTTAGTAATACTCCTGGTGGCACTGTGGGTTAATGCACTATACTGCAAAATTGGTTTGAACTGCAAGGTTGGCAGTTCAAGTTTACCAGCTGTTCCTAGAAAACCCTATACAGGGTTGCTGTTGGTCAGAACTGACTCGATGGCACACAACAACAACGATACACCTCCCATCATTCCACAAGGGGTGGAATTCTTTTTCTTCCAAGTAAGCCTACATCATGCTAGAATGGTTGGCTAAAACTGAGATAGAGATCCTAGATGACAACTATTTTCAGTCAGCATTCTCTTAGGGGAATGGAAACATGGCCCCAAGGAGATTCTTGGAGTCAAATCTAAATGGCCTTTAAAAGCCTGAAGTAGCATATCTTAAAAAGTCACATGGTTTCTTAATACATCTATGTTTAAAAGTAATATGTGATATTAACATCTGAGAAAAACATTTCCTGCCATGCATGCCAAGCTATTCATTCCATAAATATTTATCTAGTACCATTCTAGGTTCTGGTACTGTATCCATAATTAAGACTCTTCAAGTTCTTGCCCTTATGGGAGAGAAAGAAAAAATAAACAATAAACAAGATAACAGTGATATGTTCTGTGAAGGAAATGAAACATGGAAATGAGAGGGATCATTGTAAGAGTGGAAAGGGAAGGAATGCTTTAGAAAAGATAGGCAGGAAAGACCTCTGTGAGGGAAGTGACATTTGAGCTGAGACCTAAGTGATGAAAAATCAGTCACATGAAGAGTCAGAGGAATTCTGAGCATCTCAGGAAAAGGAACTTGAGGAATCTTAATGCAGAGATACTGAAGCAGGAAAAAGCTTGATATGTTGAGGAAATATTAAGATAGCTAGAACACAGTGAGGTTAGTGTGATGAGGCTAGTCTGAGAAGCAGAAGACATGTTAGACATGACTTATAAATCAGGATGTTGTTGTTACTGAGTGCCAGGTTTCCAAGGAGCAACTGGTGGGTTTGAACACCAACCTTGCAGTTAGCAGTCCAGTACTTATCCTGCAGCACCACACCAGGACAGGAATCTGGATATCATTCCAAGCACAATGTGCAGACAGTGAGGGATTTTATACAGAAGAATGGCATGGTTTGATTTTATATTTTAAAAATAAAATATCTCCTTGACAATTGTGTGGAAAATGGTTTGAAAAGTGGATACAAAATAGCTTGGAGACGACTATAGTATTCTTGGCTTTGACTAGAATGTGGTAGAGATGGCAAGAAATGAGTATATTTTGTAGGTAGAACCAACAGGATTTGCTGATGGATTGGTTGATGCAGATGAGAGAAAAAGAAAAATTAGCAACAATTCCCCTAGCCCGAACAATGCTAATACAGAAATAGAGGGGAAACTGATGCTTTTGTTTGGTTTTGTTTTAAGAGGTGGTAGGGTATTAAGAGATCACTCTCAGACATGTTAAGCTTGAGATTCAAATAGAGAAGTCAGGAAGGTAATATAAGAGTCTGGTACTCAGGAATAGACAGAATAGAAGACGTAAATTCATGAATAGTTAACTTAAAGGTGGTCATGGCAGTTGAAGAGACAACTTAGAAAA